TCTCGCCAGACATGAAGTTGGGTGTAAATAGAAGAGGCTAACAATTTACTATGGTATGTTGTGTATGTATAAAAGTGAAAAGAAGAAACTCGCATTACTGGAAGCCTCTCTATTGCTCTCTATTGCTCTCTATTGCTCTCTCTCTCTCTCTCTCTCTCTCTCTCTCTCTCTCTCGCTCTCTCTCTCTCTCTCTCTGTACAGCTCATTACACTTGAAGAAATATATGTGAAGATCTTTCAGCCCTTAGAGCTGAATCCTATATAAGTTCTATCTCTCTTTCATTTACGTGCTCTCTTTTTCTCTCAGTGCACTTGAGTAATTTAGTATGCTGTAAACAACAGATGCGCCTCTTAGCAGCCCATAATTATGAACCCATCCGAGTCCAGTGGCAATGCTGTAGAACCGCTCTGACTCACAGCCTCACTGCCTCTGCGTGCCTTGTTGGACAGTGTAGTAGCCGATGCCGCTGTAATGAGAATGGCCGCCCATCAAGGTGGCCCGAGGGCGTGCAAATTGAGTGCCTCGTAACTGAATTGTTAACTTATCTCTCGGCAGCAAGAGGCAAGAACTTGTTGTTGGCCTTTTGTCATTGTGTGATTTCGTCAGTTTGTCATGCCGTAGCACACTTCCGGTGCGGGCCATAACGAGAAATATGGTGCACCTTATCGCGCGTTTGCCAATTCGCAATTGTTACAAAAATATATCAATGTATTTATTGTCTGAGCTTGCAATGCAAACTTACGTAATATATAGACATATTGTATACATACATACATACATACATATGTATGCCCTTTTTTCACAAACTCAATGTTGGCTATATGACTGATGGGGCGTGGCAGCTGTAGGTGTTGGCTAATTAGTATGACAGACATTGTGTGCAAATGCTTTACATACAATTTACATTTACATTTAACAGCTGAGTCATCGACTGTTGCTGCTGCTGCTGCTGCTGCTGTCGCTGCTGCTGTTGCTGCTGTTGCTGCTGCTGCTGCTGCTGTTGCTACTGCTGCTGTTGCTGCTGCTGCTGCTGCTGCTGCTGCTGTTGCTGCTGCTGCTGCTGCTGCTGTTGCTGCTGCTGCTGCTGCTGCTGCTGCTGCTGCTGCTGCTGTTGCTGCTGCTGCTGCTGCTGCTGCTGTTATTGAGTCTGTTCATGTTATCCTGAACGTGACATGATGTATGTCAAGACAAGTTGATCACAAATGCCGCACGCATGCAACAACAACAACAACAACAACAACAACAGCTGCATAGATGCAAAGCAAGTTAAGAGTGCTCTAATCGGAAGTATACGACTAGAAGATACCGCGACCAACTGCTTCTGCTTACATCGAGTCAATTCGCACAGCAAGCCTCCCACTGCGCCTTACATACACTGCAACAAAAACGGTATACTTTCATAGGCTTCAGGGCTGATAAGCCAAAGACATTGACAAACAACAAAAGTTTGCGTGCTTGAAATCTGTTGTTGTGTGTAGTTAGTTGTAGTTGCTATTGGCTATTCGCTATTGCTGTTGTTGTTGTTGTTGCTGTTGTTGTTGGCAATGTTAACATGCAGCAAAACGTGTAAACTGCTCATAAGGGGGCCAAGCCCATGCTGTGCAGTGTCTGGCCCGCAACTTATCACAAACGTCTTATCAGCGGGCGCATTTGTCTCTGCCAAAGCGACGACGGCGACGGGAAAGTCTGCCAAAGGCCAAGTCAAGCCAACAGGTGCTATGTATATATGTACATACATATATGCAGGTATTTGCCTCATTATCGCACCTCAGCTGCAAATTTCTCAGTAAGCATTCGCAGTTAAATCGATTTGATAGACGCAGCAAATGAAAAGACCTTCTGATAGCAGCAAATGCTTTGAACTTTGTCCAGGGCTGCATAACATAAACTTTGCCAGTGTTGCCAAATGTAATATTTCATTAAAAGTAATTGCAACTGTTTGTAGAGCCATTAAAATGACTTTCACTGGGCGACTACAGTCGTTTGATGTGCCGAACGAGTTGAATATTCAATTTAGTAGAGCAAGACCTATGTGCTAAGACTCTAGCTCTCTATAGAGCGCTATTCGACTAAGTTCGCCAAGTCAACGATCTTAAACTTACTCCAAACGAGTCTGACACAAGCTAAGCACTCTTGACTTCTTGACTCTTATCTGCTTGTATTACAGCTATTCACAATGCAATCAACTGCAGTCCGAGATATTGCAACATTTTCTCGCTCTACCCCACTTTACTATTATACAATCATAAAAGTTCACTTAACGTTAATTTACGCGAACTTTAACTATGGCAATTATGAATGCAAATACCCTACAAATAGTTGAAATGGCTGCAATGACGGCAAGGGGTAGTTATGTTGCAATATCTCTTTACCTATAGGAAGAGGAGGTCGTGATCTTAACTATCGTTGTCTATCTGGAGAGAAGTTCCAGGGTATCTGCCAGTCTACTACTTCCAGCTGCAGCACACTTGCTAACTGTTTTCTTGCTCGACAGTTGTGGGGCTAATGAGAGGGAGCGCTGAAAGAATGATATAATAGCCGAGTCTCACATGATGGCGACAAAACAAATCGCAGTGTAGCGTGTGAATTGCCTTAACAACAACTGGCAAACCATATACAATATATGTACACATGTATATATATCAGTATATTTATATGTTTATAGATCAATAACTTTATAGCTCTAGGCATGACACAGCTTTCAGCGCGCCGCGTTCAATCAATTTCAATTGCGAGTGTGCGACAGGGTTCGATTTCTTTCTCTTCTCTTCTCTTCTATTTCTGTTCGTTTTCTTTTTCTTTTTGTGGGTTTTCTTAATTTTCCAAATTGAAAACGCGCCGCACATTAATTCTAATCAATTTTCAGGCACTTGGCACTAAAAAATAAGTGCCCAATAACCAAGGAGCATGAGAGGGAGAGAGGGGAAACCATGGGACGCCACTTAATCAAACTGGGGTAAGCTGAAGGACAGCCAGTCCCACAGGAGGTATAAATATCGATAGGACTTTCGACTCGAGGCAGACTCGCTCGTAATTAATATTGGAGGAGACATGCACACTTTTAGGCAATGATTAGATTTCACGAAATGTATGTGTGTGTGTGTGTGTGTGTGTGTTGACGATAAGTTAATCAAGGTCTAGACTTATCAGAGAGGGTCATGCCTAAACGTTGCTCCTCAGCCAGAGACCGATAATAGGGGAATGTCGCTGCCCGAGCCAGGGTCGTCCCAGCCGCAACGTGCGTGGTCCTGGCCGCAGGACGCATGCATCTGTCTGGCTTATTTATAGCTCGGCCCCTTTTCAATCAGTGGCAATCAAAGAACGAGAAACAACTTCTATTAATAACTGATTTGCGCTTTAATTGCAGACAGCCAGCCAGCCAGGTCCAGGGCAGCTGTGCGGCTCTCTCAGTCCAGTTCTTCAATAATTGCGCACAGTCAAGGGCATGCTAATAGAGCCGCCTTCAGGCCTCGTCTCCTGCTGGTCATCTTCAATGTTTTCCGCTGTTTGCATTTTGAAATCTAAGCTCTTGCCACGCCCCGATCGCCCCGATCGCCTCGATCTATAACCGGCTTTTGCTCAGCAAACTGGCATTTGGAGCACATTCGTTTTAATCTCACCTCTGCCAGGAATGATGGATGCACCTGCACTGAATACCCTTTAATTATGGCGTACTTAATGTCGGCGAGTGTTTGCCTAGAGCAAGTCCCATCATATTAGTTGTTGAGCCATTCGGAATGCACTTGCTCCTAGCTCTTTCTCTCTCACTCTCTCTCTCCCTCACTCTCACTCAACGGGCTAGCTCGTGCTCGGGTGCAAACTAATTTATTTTCATTTTAGCATTCAACTTGTGCAAACAATCCAAATTTGTTTAACAGCTCCAGTTGTTTGTGAACAACGATAAACGATCGCTCTGGCTTCAAGGTTAATGCCAGTCGAATCGCGAGGGCTGCTCCAAAGGAATTTATAACCCCAAATAACAATTGAATCTACATTATCAACTAATCAAGAAGCTAATTAAGTAATCAACGTTTGACTAAATTAAGCCACAATAAATCAGCCAAACAAAAGGGGACTTAGGAAAACGAAAAAGAGTTGCAGAAAAACATGAGGGGAGAGTTTTTAAGGAAATAAGTTCTATAATTCTCCTTCCACTTTTGTTTTATGTGCTCCCTCTTTTTTGCTTCAATCATATAAATAATTCTTATCAATCTGTATGTTTTTTTATTATTACTTAAGACCACTTTTCCTGCACATATTTAGCAGCTTTCTAAAATTCTTTAGAAATCTTATCTAATGACTGCCAAAGGCCTGCCTGATAACAGGGAATCACACATCGGGCCACTGATGAACCACCCATTCTTATGAAGTGTTATTGTTTTCTTCTTCTTCTTTCATATCTCTGTATATTTTGTTGATGAACAGCAAAAAGGCCTGAGCAGCTGTTTAGAGCAATCGCACGAAGCTGAGATATCGCACTTGGGCAATAAATATAACTGGCACATCAAACGCTTAGGCGAAGGTGATAACCAATGCAAAATTGCGGAAACTCTGCCAACTAGTGCCACATGTGGCAAGTGGCAAGTGGCGAGCGGCAAGTGGCAGCTGCCTGGCTAAAAACGCGTCCAATTCGAGTGTTTTCCTCTTTTTCTTTTTGAGAGATAGCCAGGCAGATCCGTTACAATTTCCTGGGCGCAGACACGAAACGCCGTTTAACACGGCTGTCACAACAGCAGCAGCAAGAAGAAGAAGAAGAAGAAGCAGCACAAGATGAAACCACGATACAAATGGGAATGGAAATGGCAATGGCAATGGCAATAGCTATGACTATGTCTATGGCTATGGCTATGTCTATACTTCTATTGGCATGACCGATCCTAGACAGCTTTTGGCTGGTAATGAGTTGTCAATGGCTTTATCGGCGCCTGTGCATCGCAGCGCATCGCATGGATAGATTGGCGGACATAAAGTCAGATAGTTTATGAGCTATGGCCACTAACCGATTTAATGTGAATGCGCCGTGAGACGGGCACATCGTAGTCCAGGTCCGCATTGGTTGCATTCGAGCTGCAGCAGGAGCCAGACATCGAGATGGCGCTTTGTTTGTCCAGCATTTTGTATGGGATCGTAAATTGAGGCGGATAAATCAATTGCAGCTTTGCTTCATGTTTCAATTAGTAGAGATACTCTAATGTATATTTAATCCAGGACAATATAGTTCAAGTATCTCAACTCTTGTGCACTTCACATGTATCTTATATCTTGTATCTATGTATATATCAGCACAATGCTCGCATCAGCATATGAATTTGACTTTTTTTTTTGGGTCGGGGGTTTAGCTTTTCGCTTTGACTTTGAGTTTTTTCTTCTTTTTGTTTTTTCGCGGAATCAGCTTTAAAATTCAAGTTTTGCACGGGGGCCACACGAAATGCGCCGAACGAATCGCTAATAAAAATCAATTCGCGTAGCTTTTTAAACAAAAGATGCCACAACTACAACGGCAACATCAACAATAACAACAAAAACACCGTATTATTTTTGCCGATGTTTAGCGATTTTTATCGCTGCTTTCTTATTGTCGCGACTCGCTAGCGTTTCTAATCGCCCGCAAGAAAACCCAGCTTCACAGCGAAAACGAACGAAAAGACGAAATCAAACTCTGCACAAAGCGCTCAACACGTTCCGCTCGGCAGCAGGCAACAAAATACACTGAATAGCGGTTCAGCATGCGTTCGGCCGGTTGCCGTTTACCACCAATCGTGCTGCCTGAATACTCTCTCACACACTCAACACATTGACTTGCTCAAGCTGTTTGCTGCTCTCTCTTCGGATTGCAGCAGCAGCCAACGCACAGCAATAACAAGCAAGAGTATACAGTGAGCGCATATACTTACAGTTGTTTTCGCTCTCTGACCTCTCTCTCGCTCATTTAAACTATTTAAGCAGCACAACTTCGGCAAGCGCTCGGCTCGTTGCTCATACAAGCCGATTGCAAGCAAAGCCAATTCGTGTTTGTTCGTACTCTTCAGTACTATTGTACAGCAGAGTAAAAGGTAGTAGCCATCTACTACTATTTTCAATTCGCACAGCATTAGTATGATTTTCTTTCTACATTATCGCATAGTTGAATACCCCGTTGTTCGATCAAATTGGAGCAATTAAGTGGAATTTTAGGTAACTCTAGCAACGTCTACAACTCTCCATTTCTATTAGGGAGTAACTTCAAACCACTTCTATCAGTTCAGTGCCCCAAGTCAAATACTTTTGGTTGGTTATTTGAGAAACGAACCCATTAAATTTCACTCCTCTATCTATTGTAAGTGAATACGCTTCATATTATATTATCTTTTATTATGCTCGCCATATCGAATGCAGACAGTTTATGAGCAAAAGATGATACCCAAAAGAAACGAGACATGGCACAGGGTGCTGCAGTAGCGCCTGCAGCTGTCCAAACAAATCGAGTGGAACAATTCAATTCGTGTATTGCGTCGCCCGCTCTCCTCGTGTAGCCGGGGGCATGAAGTTTTGTCGCCTGCACCAGAGCCCTGCCAGAGTCAAAAACAATGATACTGCGAGAACTCTGCCCACTCTCCCGCATGTGCATACGACTGCCAAAGGGTAAGCTCACTCTCTGCTGAAGGTCAGGTCGTCGTCGGGCAACTCGTTTCACGAGCTGTGTTCTATGCCTTCATTCCATTCCCATTCCCATTTCCATTCAGAAAAACGATGCAAAGCAGAACCAGATTGAGAAGCGCGCACTGAGGTGCGGCTGCAGCTGCTGCTGTGAAGTTGAAAGTGACATTTGACATGATTTGCATGCCAAGTGCCACGCCCACGTCACTCAAGCTGACACCCAAAGTGAGTTGACTGCAGTCGTCTGAGTTGATTTGAGTTGCATTGGGAGTTAGGATCGCTTCGGGCAGACCCGCAGCGCTTGACACTCGTTGAGTTTTTATGGCCGCTTTCAGCTAGAGTTTGATTGAATTTCGTTTCATTTGATTTGAAGCAGCAGTTGATCTGGCTTTCTATCAATTAACTTTATTGGCCAGGTCAGGTTCTTATCGCAATCGTTAACTTGTTTGTTAACCAATTCATTTCCGTTGCGTGGGCAACCAGGTATGTCAGACAGCTCAAATTGGACACTCTCTATCTCTATCATTCTCTCTCTCTCTCTTTGCTCGCCTCTGGTATGCGCATTATCCTGCTTTAAGGCCATTAACATTTCAGACATTGTCTGTTTCGGCAACAATAACAGCATGCCGTCCTTTTGTCCCAGTCACGCTCAGCCTCTGTCCGTATCCCTGCACACTTTTCCATGTCATTTGCCTTTCATTTCCATGCCGATTTCAAATAACAATTAAATGCCTGCCCACCCGCCCGCATTCCAGGGAATTAGTCGACAAAATTGTTGCAGAAGGGTCAGGCCTAGTTATGAGTCGCTTGAGGGTGGCAAAGAGCGCCAGCTGACCAACACTGGCTGAAACTCTAATTGCCTTGTCAGAGTTTCATATTCAAAATCATCTGGTTGAGCACTCTTAAAGCCAGTCAGCCACCCACGCTACATGTATTTATGATTTGCCACAATTTTGGGCATTTTAAATATGTAAATGAGACAGCTTTATTCAGATCTCTCCCTCTCTCTCTCTCTATAGATGTCTCTGCAACACCTCATAACAAGCTCAAAATGTTTTGTTGTTTGCAATTTGGAAGCTGAATAAATAATATATGATAATGCGACCACGCATCACGCTTCATAAATCTGCCCAGCTCTGCCCCTCACTCGCCCTCCCCTTTGCCTCTCCCTCTCGCACAGTCGCTTTACCTGTCGCTGCCTCTGTCGCTGTCTGCTCTGCATTCGCCACAAACAATATATGTATATAAACATCTTTTTGACATTCCATTGCTTACACAATATACACAATTTGTAGGCGTCATATCTTTTATCTAAAACATGCATTCTCATTCTGGCACCTGCCTGTCGCAGGTATGAAGAGCAACAACAAATTAGATTGCAAAACAAATTTTAGCAGCTTCCCCCAATCACATCGCCCCCAAATATGCCCATTTCTCAATATCGCAATCAGTGCTGGGCATTTGTTCCCCCTAATTGAGTCATTTGTATGACCATTCGCTGTGGAATACATTTTTATGGCACATTTGTGCTCGTCCAACCCTCGGCTGAACGGAACCCCCCCAAACGAAGTAGACTCTATAGTCGCACTCTCCCTAGGGCAGCGTCTAACAATGTCTATAGAGAGCGATGAATGGCATCTGTAGGCATATTATTATACTAGCTCACACTAACCAACTCCATTTTATTTCACTTGGAATTTCATTTTCTTTTATCTGACTACCCTCGGATGATAGTGAAATATATAAGGAACTTTGACAATCCTTAGATATTCAAGGAGAAGAGAGTTGAATATCTAGTAACTCTTAGTGATTATTAATCAGTATGTCCATCAATCATTCAGCTTATAGATTGATAAACATATAGATCTAGTTGCTCTTACGTCTTATCAATCAATCAGTCAGTACGATTGGAAGACCCTCTTGTTAACTGTGTTACCTGTTGGCTAGCTGGCCAAACGAGTATTTCCTGCCGCACTTAGATATCGCTGCTTCATATGAAAACCAGGGCAATTCAACATAACGTAATTCCCTCTGGCACTGAGTGCATCCAAGCGAGGAGTGTCAGGCCGTTCCACTCCTTATCCGGCGAGCGGGCATCAGCCGAGAGGCCATCAGTCGAGGTTGACTTTCATTAAGATGCCCATCTTAATTGCGCCCACAGCTGCGCCGACTGCCAGACGATCCTTACGACTTTTCGACTTTCCAAAGCCCCGTTTCGGGCACGTCAGTCGCATCTCTATTGTTTTACGGCCACAAGTGGCAAAAGGGATGCCCGAGGAGTGGGGGGGGAGGAGGGGGTGTGGCAGTCCCCTGATAATTGATGAATTTATGGCACAACATAAAATACTCCAACTTTGTTTTGTTTTCCTGCCTTTTCGACTATTGCCACATCACTTTTACTGATTGCAACTGCTGCTGCTGCTGCTGCTTATCACGCGCCGCTGATGAAGTGCAGCCAGGCGTTTGCCTGTTTCTCTAATTGGACTGGCACGGGTCTAACTCTGTCTCTCTCTCGCTCTCCCTCTCACTCTCAAGCTCGCCAACAAAACGCCACTTGCCGGCTGGGTTAATAGATTCTGGGAACTACAAAATGCATTTTGTTCTCTTCTTCTCTTTTTTTCGGACCGCTCGCCTCATTTCCAATCTGTGCTCATTGCGCTTTGTTCATTCGACATTCGACTCTTGATGTGCGGCTGGCTACTTTTCGGATGCGATTGCTTTCATTGGCCCGACTTGGCTCAAGTTAAGTCAAGAATACCATTGTCGACGTTGTTGTTGTTGTTGTAGCTCTGAAATTTGCATTGTTTTGCGTATGCGGCACGTTCTGCACATTTTATGGAGCACGCATTGGCCCCACAAGCCCCCCCAAATGAATAGACCAGATATGAAAATAGCAGCTAATTAACACAAACATTCTTGTTTCTGATGTGTTGATTTAGCCCGTCATGAATAATAATCCAGAGCATGTGCGCCGAGTCAACGCGAAGAAAACTTCTAAAGATGCAATAGAGCCAATTGAATCGAAATTTGCCGTAGCTAAATGAGAATTCCGGCTCAATTTATTGCTTCATATAGAGAAAGCAAAAGTGTTATAGGGGCGATATAGATAATTCACTTCAAATATGCTGCACTGAAGTCTATCGGTAAATATAGCAAGGGGAAAACTTCTAGAGATACGATAGACTGGAAGACCCAAGAGGACTTTAAGAAAAAAGCCTTAAGTAGACATATTGTATATCTAAGATGTATCGGAATCTTCTTGGTATGGACTGCCTTCAGAGAAAACTAAACTTTCTATGAAATCCTATTTACAACATCCTCTCAACAGACATTTTCTTGAAGCCCCCTTACTTTTCGCTAACTCATGCCCCTTCTCTAACTGCCATTTACTCTATTCAATTATTCAACTGCTTCCATGGCCCATCATTAACTTCCACTGCCACTCCCACTCCAACTCTAATCCCTACCCATTAGTCCTTTAAGATTTCACCCTCTGCCCAGCTCCGGCTCCAACTGAATGGCTTAATTGCCCAGCCCTCCCCAGCAGACAATTTAGTTATATTATTAATGGTTGTTTGTGGCCAGACGAAACGTCAGAGAGCAGAAACGACTTCATCATTGCCAACTGGGGAACTGGATACATTGAAGAGCTGAAAGTCTGGGGCACTTGAAATAAAGTCAAAGATTTGCGGGCAAAGTCTGTCGGCGAATTTCACACATTGTGCAAGGCCTAAAAATATCCACACAAACATATGTAGAACAGAGCCAGCCAGGCAGGCAGCATAGATGGGAGAGTAAATATTGTGAGGCCTGAGCAAATGGCTGGCAGCTGCGGCGCCTTTGACAATTTGCCGCCTCGCCTCGGCTCGCGTTCTAATCTTTGTCGCTGCGGCAGCGACTGCGGCTGTGGCTCCTAATCCGGAGCTGTTTGGCAGTTTCCTGACGCGATCTGCGGCCAGTTGCCACCCAGCGATAATAACAAACAATTCGTTTGTTTTCCACAAAAACAGAAATGAAGCAAAAGCCGGAGTCGGACTGGCTGCATTTTGCTCGTGTTTGCATAATTCATGA